CAGAAGCTCTGAGCCACCATTGACCTAACATATCCTGCAGGCAGGGCTAGTGTGAGTCAAATGTTTTGTCGATGGCTTGGTATCCCAATCGCATCACTATGAACCCCTTTTTAGATGACCTTATTTACCACAGTTGAAACCCTTGACATTTCCGAAATTTTTCACTCTAGATCTGAATGAGTCATCAGTAATAACCATTCAACAGATTCACGACTTCATTTGAGAAATGGCCCACTACTTATTAAGTATGCTCTGTTAGGTTCTAGGATATAGACAGAATATAAAAATAGACTTTGGAGCCAAAATATCACACAAATGACCTCTAGTTCAAACTTTTATGCAGTATGTCTAGTTCTGACAAAAATCCTATGATCTCTATCTCCACCTTCATCCATTACTCTCAATATCCCCATCTTCCTGGTCCAGAAAGAACAGATAATTAAGTTCTGTGCACAGCTTTCTATGGTGTTCACCAACTAAAGTCTTGATATCTCCCACATTCTTCTGAAAGACTGTAACATGAAGGGCCGGCTTGTTGGGGTTTCTGTCCCACTTGGTACCCCACAACCGGCATAAACCAAGTAAAATCACACACAGGACTCCATAAGATTATAAACTGATTGGCCCATTAGTTCTGCCTTCTTGTTAACTCTTATAGCTTATATTAACCCATTATTATTATCTATGTTAGCCGCACAGCTCAGTACCTTTCTCAGCGTGGCAGCTCACATGTTGTTTCTTCGGTGGTCTGTGCAGGAATGGCGAAGCAAGCTTCCTGCTTACCAGAATATTCCTGTTCTCATCACCCCACTTCTACTTCCTGTCTGGTTGACCCACTATGCTTCCTGCCTGGCCAATCAGCGTTTTATTAAAATACATGATTGACAGAATACAGACAATTCTCCTGCACCATTTCCCTCTCTTTTTTTTTAAACAAAGGAAAATACCCATAGTCCATTTGTTAGGAATGTGGGCATAGTATTTCAGGCTACTTCCTGCTGGTTGGGGGTGCTGATAATCTTATGGGGACCTAAAGAAAATTTAGAGTTATAATCAAGTCCTGACTGGAGTATCCTGTTGAGTCTCGATCATCTCAGGCAGCAGTCTTGAACCTGTTCTGGATGAAGAGCTCAGACATCTGGGCCATCTATTCCTGTCAGAGATTTCTCAGGTGGTCTCCTTTGGTCAAATTGGATTTTTCTTAACTCAGAATAAATCCAGAGTCTCTCATTTTCTCTGGAAACAAAAGCAAAATCTCTTCTCTAAAGTAACATACCTTTTGACTTCAGTTTTGAAGGCAAGTTATTTTCAAAATACCTATCTTGGGTTAGTTCAACAGCATTTGTAAACAAAAGTCTTTTAGCAGCTATTGCTCCTTCTTCAGCATTCAAACAATTCAGCTAGAGCATAATAGCATGCAGTATCAAGATTCTTTGTGTATTTTCCATCTTTATACGGCTTTATTTTAACCTCTATTTCTTTTATTTTTATTTTTACTTTTTGAGACAGGTTCTCTATTTATCTTTGTCCTGGAATAACTCTGTAGACCAGGTTGTCCTTGTACTCACAGAGATCCACCTGTCTCTGCCTCCCCAGTACTAGGATTAAAAGTGTGTGCTACCACACCTTAAACTCACAGAGATCTGTCTGTCTCACTCTCCCAGGCATTGGGATTAAAGGTATCCACCATACCCTACTTCTCTCTTTCTTTCTTTTTTGTTTTTAATGACTTTAACCTTTAGCCTGCATGTATTTTTAACACATAGTAAACCATTTAGAGGTTTTTTTCATCTTTGAATCTCTTTACTGTATATCTCTCTCTTTTTCTGACCACGAGTCTAAAACCGTGGCTTTGACGGCAGGCTCCAGCCCATTCCTTAGCTTTCCAGCCTCATGGCAGAGGTACTGCTGGAGCCATTTTTATTGTCACAAGTTTACATTGTTTCAAGGTCCCTGCCAGCAAGCAAGCTGCAGCATTCTGCTCACAGACTACACTCAGTCGGAGTGGCTGGCTGAAAGAATCAGAGTTAGCCATGGCAGGACAGCCCAGAAAGCCAGCATTTTAAAACCATGCAGCTTTTTTCCTGCTATGGCTGAAAACAGAAAAGCATGCATTCAGCTTTTCCTCAACACAATTTAAGTGTTTAGTGGCAGGATCTCTTAAAGGAGCCGCAAAGTTTTGCAGCTAAAGCTGAGTAAGGAGGCCTCTCTTAGATGAGAGCTTTTGCTTGCCTCTAGCAAGCAGAGCATACCTGAGAAATTGCTGCTACCAAGAAAATAGGCTTTACTCTATTCCTTCCCAAGCTTACTCAGATTTTCTGTGGATGCAGTTATCCATGTGGGCGCCATATGTAACATGAGGGGTAGGCTCGTTTGTGGGTTTCTGTCCTGTCCGGTCCCCCAGCTGTTCAGTCCCAATAAAAATCACACAGGAATCTCTATAAGTTATAAAGCTGATTGGCCCATTAGGTCAGGCTTCTTATTAGTCCTTGTAACTTATATTAATCCATTATCATTATCTATGTTAGCCACATGTCTCAATACCTTTCTCAGCATGGCAGCTCACATGTTGCCTCTTCGGTGGCCTGGTCAGGAATGGAGGAGGGAACTTCCTTCTCCCTAGCCTTCTCCTATTCTCCTTGTCCCACCTCTACCTCCTGTCTGGTTGACCTGCTTATACTTCCGGCCTGGCCAATCAGCGTTTTCTTAAAATACATGGTTGACAGAATACAGACAATTCTCCCACACCAAAAGACAACATTCCCTGGTTTTCCCAAGGAACAAATTCAGGTTTGGTGTCCTGTTTTTGTTCTAACTTGCTTCTCTGTTGCTGTGATTAAATCGATTAACCAAAGGATTCCAGGCAAAAACAGGATTATTTGGCTGATTCTTTTGGGTTATAGTCTGCCATTTTGGGAGTTTAGGATAGAAACTCAAGCTGGTCACTAAAAGGAAATTTCATGGGCAAAGATTGTTTCCTGCGTTTCTTCTTGCCTACTCACTGTCTTATGCTCAGATAACTACCTTGTCCATACACACATATCCTTAGCACAATTAATAGATTAACAGAGATAGATATTGGGGTTCAACCTGAAGGTCAAAAAGGCAAAACAGTCAGCGACTGACTTTTACCTCTACCTCAGTCTGAAATGGCGATCCTGCCTCCAGGAATTCCAGAATGACACTGTCTGAGAGCTGTCTCACCCCTTTATATCTTCCTCTCTAGGACTGGGATTAAAGGCATGCACCACTACAGCCAGGTTTTTATGGCAAACTAGTGAGGCTACTATGCTTTGGTCTTGCCTTGGGCCTGTCTTTCCTCATTGTATCTCCATTAATGTCTTTCAGAATATGAATAGTGTGCTGTGTGATTGTGTGTAGGAAAGATGTAACTTGTTTTCTGAATTTACAAGATGTTACTGTCAAGAGATTGTCTTGTGTGTGTGGAGAGACTTGGGACATTGGAGCAGTTTAAGGGTTGTTGCAGATTATGAGGATCATTGAAGTGACTAATTGTATTTTCTTCATGGATGACCATTAGCCTATAATGAGACTATGTAGTTGCTTGAGTCTAAAACTTACCGGATAATGATATATTTGAACATATGTTTATTTGGTCACTTGCTTGTGAACCTTTTATTTGGAAGAGATTTTCTGGATGGTTTTCCTCATGGAGGGGTGATATGGGTCTCTATAGCATCAGTTCCTTTCCTGTTCTCTGTGTCTACTGTGTTGTACTTGATACTAATCAGCCAGCTTCCTTCTTGTGCTGTCATGTCTTCACCAACATTAAAGACTCTTATCTCTACATCATGTAAGATATAGGAGAAGCAACTGCTATTCAATGCTAATCAAGTTTGCTACCTTTTTGTTTTTAAATGTTTGTTTGTTTGTTTGTCAAAACAAGGATGTTCTTTGTAGCCCTAGCTGTCTTGAAAGTAGCTCTATCCATCCAGCTGGCTCCAGAATGACCTCAAACTCACCAATCCCCTTGACTTGGTATCCCATGTGCTGGGATTAAAAGTGAGCCAACATTCCTGGCTTTTTGTTTTTTTCTTATTGTGTCATCTGTCTGGAATGTACGTTTTTGACCATGTCAAGCATTTGCTGTTAAACTGAGTTGTGCTTATACTTTGAATTTTCAAATTTGGCAGAAGTTATGTGGTTTCCCAGGATGGCATGTATTTATAACAAAAATGCTGCCTGTGCCTTCTGATTCACTGGATTGCACATACATCACCTTCTTCCTGTATGTTGCTTTTGTTTTTAATGAAAATTCATATTTCACCTATAAGCATGGACATGCACCACACAGTACCTATCCTCACAATGATCAAAGATGTTTTCAAAAACCCTGAACTTCAATAATTGATAGTTATGTTCCCAGAAACAAATAATAGTAACTGAGCCCTCCTATATGCAAGATGAGCAAGAGCTCTTGACTAATGAGATATCTCTTTGACTCTGTGTTGATTATTTATTATCCACATCTAATTTGGTAATGGTTCCATCTATCCACTTGTAACTGTTTAAAACATGCTGTGCCTTTTAGTAAAATCTTACTAAAAGCTTACAGCTTAGAGTTACAGCTTAAAGTGGAGAAGTTTAGGTTTCTGGAAGATGAATACAGAACTCTTTGTAGCAATGTCAGTAAGATACTACTGAGTTCTGTCTATTTTTTGTTTGCTTGACTGATTTTTGCATGGGAGATGGGGTTGTAATATGTACTTCTGGCTGTCCTGGTACTGACTGAATAGACTAGTCTGGCATTAAACTCCAAGGCAGATTTCCCTCCCTCTGACTTCTGATTGCAGTGTTTAAAAGCATGAGCCAATAGACACAGCCTGTCCCTTTTGTTTTTTTTTCTGTATCTACCAATTGTTGATATAATTTCTCTCCTGTGTCTGCTATACTGTTATCTATTTACTGGTCTCTCTCTGTTTTTTTAATAGTCGTTTCTCTTGCAAGATGATATTCCCTTCACAGGGTACAGTAATGAGAGAGGTGAACCTTCCATTCAGTTTCGTTCCAAAGTGACTTGGTGATTACATTATAATGTCTATTTAATGGAATAAGTATAAGCAGGACAAGAATTATATGACTATATTGTGAAAGAACTATACATTCACAATGTTGTCACTCCCATGCTTTCTGTTGTACACATGTATGTGTCATTTCAGAATGCAGTGACCTATGATGATGTACATGTTGACTTCACATGGAAAGAGTGGACATTGCTGGATCCTACACAGAGGAATCTCTACAAAGATGTGATGCTGGACACGTACCATAGCCTCACTATCCTAGGTAAAACTGAATGTTCCATCATGGTTTTAAATAAGGAGACAAGTGTTCCTTGGTTTTTTTCAGGTTCTTCTGTAATTCGATTGAGAAAGAAGAATGAGGTGAATAAATCCGTCATGGTTCTAAGGTTCACTGACGATAGTAATTTAAATGTCACACAATTTTTAATAACATATTATATGTTTTCAACTTTATTGTAGGATACACTTGGGAAGACCATAATATTAAAGAACATTGTCAAAGTTCTAAAGAACATGAAAGGTAATTATCATTCCCAAACAGATATTAATGTTCCTCTAAAGAAATTAAAATGTGTCCTGGAGATTTGACACTAAAAAATGGTATAAATAAGAACAGCCTCATGTGGATGATGATTATTAACTTCTCACAAAATCATATGCCTCAATTTCAAGTAGATGAATTGCATTTGCAAGGCATTTTTTTTTAAGAAAAAAGACCAGGGGGCTGGAGAGATGGCTCAGAGGTTAAGAGCATTGCCTGCTCTTCCAAAGGTCCTGAGTTCAATTCCCAGCAACCACATGGTGGCTCACAACCATCTGTAATGGGGTCTGGTGCCCTCTTCTGGCCTGCAGGCATACACAAAAGACAGAATATTGTATACATAATAAATAAATAAAAGAAAAGAAAAGAAAAAAGACCAGAAACAATGCCTAAACAGATATCACCATTTGAATCACAGCTCAATGAGAGTTATTTGGTAGAACTGTTAATCCATTAACTTCTCACCACTCATATTACAAAAGATAAACTTTTTAAAAAGAGATTTATTTATTTAGTATGAAGTGTTCTGCCTGTATGTATGCTTGCTGGCCAGAAGAAGGCCACAGCTCTCATTACAGATGGCTGTGAGCCAACATGTGCTTGCTGGGAATTGAACTCTGGAAGAATAGCTGTCAGTGCTCTTAGCCTCTGAGTCACCTCTCCTGCCCCCCAAAAGGTAAACATTCTGAAAAGGTAATGAGTCTATCCCTCTAACCTTCTAGTAAGCAAACAGTCCATACTAAACTAGTGTTACTTAAGTGTTACTCTTAATCTTGCTGTGACTGTGCTGAGTTTAGTGAGATGGGCAGTTAGAGTCAAGAGCCAAGGGACAGTTGTTATGAAGAAATCTCACTTTCATTTTTTTAACTTTTATTTTATGTGCATTGGTGTTTTACCTGGTGTATGTCTGTTTGAGCGTGTTGGATTCCCTAGGCAGGAATTAGAGACAGATGGGAGCTAATATGTAGGTACTGGGAATCAAGCTAGGGTCTTCTGGAAGAGCAGTCAGTGCTCTTAATCCCTGAGTCATCTCTCCAGCTCCCAAGAAACCTCACTTTTTATACCGTATGTCTATATATGAATTTTTCCATTTTTCTACAAATATGTGAAAAATCTACTATTGAAAAGATTCTATAAATGTGAACTCTTTATTAAAGTATCTTTCCATCAGAGGCATCTTCAAAGGTGCAAAACAACCCAAAATGAAGGAAAACAATATGAGTACAAACCTAGTAATAGAACCCTAAGATCTAAGTCCTCTTTACAATTGGACTAAATTATAAAATTTATTCATAGAGATACAGAGATTCAATGGTGTATTGAACGTGGTTAAACTTTTAAATGTGTCAATTATCCTTACAGACCTGAAGGAAATCATCCTGAAGAGAAATCTTCTATTTATAATCGATGTATTAAAGTCTTTGCATATGACAGACATCTTCAAAGGCATGAAAGCACACTTATTGGAGAGAAACCTTTTGAATGTCATCAATGTGGTAAAGCCTTTGCTTATCACAGCTATCTCCGAAGGCATGGAAGAACACATACTGGAGAGAAACCCTATGAATGTAATCAGTGTGGTAAAGCCTTTAGAGAACAAGGTAATCTTCGAAGGCATAAAAGAATACATACTGGAGAGAAACCCTATGAATGTAATCAGTGTGGTAAAGCCTTTGCCTATCAGATAGGTCTTCAAATGCATAAACGAACACATACTGGAGAGAAACCATATCAGTGTAATCAGTGTGGTAAAGCCTTTACAGTACAAGGTAATCTTAAAAAGCATAAAAGAACACATACTGGGGAGAAGCCCTATGAATGCAATGAATGTGGTAAAGCCTTTGCTTGTCACAGTGCTCTTCAAATGCATAAAAGAATACATACTGGGGAGAAACCCTTTGAATGCAATGAATGTGGTAAAGCCTTTATTCAACATAGTCATCTCCTCATACATAAAAGAACACACACTGGAGAGAAACCCTATCACTGTATTCAGTGTGGTAAAAGCTTTGCTCATCACAATGCTCTTCAAATGCATAAAAGTACACATACTGGAGAGAGACCCTATCCATGTAATCAATGTGATAAATCCTTTACATGTCACAATAATCTTCAAATACATAAAAGAACACATACCGGAGAGAAACCTTATCAATGTAATCATTGTAGTAAAGCCTTTAAATACCACAATAATCTTCAAATACATAAAAGGACACATACTGGAGAGAAACCTTACGAATGTGATCAGTGTGGTAAAACCTTTTCTCATCACAATGCACTTCAAATACATAAAAGAATACATACTGGAGAGAAACCCTATGGATGCAATCAGTGTGGTAAAACCTTTGCACAACAAGGTAATCTTCAAATGCATAAAAGGACACATAGTGGAGAGAGACCCTACGGATGTGATCAGTGTGGCAAAGTATTTAAACAACAACGTAGTCTTCAAATGCATAAAAGAACACATACTGTAGAGAAACCCTGAGAATTGTAACCAATGTGCTAAAGCCTTTGCATTGGTCAGCAGTCTTTGAAATCATCTGAAAAAGATGTGCTGCAGAAATACCCTAAAAATATAGTCAGTGTTGCAAAGTTTTGCACTTTATACAGGAGTTAACCTTTTTGTGCACAATCAATCTGTTAAAGCCTCTGTTTCTTGCAATAGTCTCTGAGTGCCTTTAAAAAATTCTGAGAGTGTATTATTGTAAAGTATTTGGTAAGCTCTTTATCCAGCACACTTATATCCTTACATAAAAGAGCATGGATTGGGGCTGGAGAGATGGCTCAGTGGTTAAGAGCACTGATTGCTCTTGCAGAGGACCCGGGTTCAATTCCCAGCATCCACGTGGCAGCTCACAACTGTCTGAAGATCCAGTTGCAGGGATCTGACACCTTCACACCAATGCACATAAGATAAAGTTAAATAAACCATAAAAATATTTAAAAAAAAAGAGCATGGATTCTGTAGGAGGTTTTGACAGTGTCAACAATCTGTTCAAGATTCATGATGTTGTCTTTTGTATTGTTTCCATCTGAAAACTCAGACAAAATCAGTTTATGAATTTATGAAGCTCTATGCGAAGTTGTCAAAAATCAGACCTCGGTCCCAGTAATAAACTTTTCTAAACTGTCCAGCTCTGTGTCTAGCCCTGTCAATATTTTAAAGTCTATTTCCATCATTTTGAAGTCAGGAAAGAAGAAAAAACTCATACAAGAGAAAATCCCTATTCAGGTAATTATTTGGTAAGTACTTTAGCCATCATGGTAACCTTTAGCAACAAGAAAAAACTCTTGTTTCTTTTATTATTCATCACAGTCTTGAAGGAAGTAAATTAATTGCCATGATCACTCAGGACCAGTGATGAAGAGCGCTGCATTGTGCTTTCTATTTTGAAATACTAAAGTTTGCTCTATGTGTGACAAATCCTTTTAGTGAGAATTGTTTTGTGTTCCTTATATTTCTTCTGCCACTTTTGTTCATCTACTCTTGTGCTTTTACTTAGTGATTGGTATGTTTCTGCTGTAATGTATAGAATGGGATACCCATCATCTAAGTGGTCCATTTATTATTTAAAATTCAGGCAGCATGTGTTCATACTATTTCAGTAAGGGTGTCTGTGAAAGGGTGAAGTTGCAGAAATTCTTTTGGTGTTCATGGTGCTAAGCAGGTGGATAGGGCAGATTCCACATCTTGTGACATAATCCGTGTGGCAGAAGGCAGACATTAGAGGTCTACTTAATTTGCTTATCTGGTCTTGATTTAATTTTGGTAAGTGATATTTATCCAGAAAGTTGTCCATTTGAAGTTTTCCAATTTTGTGGAGTGCAGGGTTTTGAAATATGATCAAATGATTCTCTCGATTTCCTCCTCATCTGTTTTTATGTCCCCCTATCATTTCTGATTTTGTTAGAGTTTCTGATTTTTATCTTTAATGATTTCTCATTTGTCAGATGGCTCTGAGAACTCCACCTTTCTTGTCTACACTTCATTTAGCAATAGAAAATGAAGGGGAGAGAGAACACAGAAATAATGGAAGCCATGATAATCAGAGGGCTTTTTTTTTAGCTTTAGAGTCTGTCCTGGAACTAGCTCTTGTAGACCAGGCTGGCCTTGAACTCACAGAGATCTGCCTGCCTCTGCCTCACAAGTGCTGGGATTAAAGGCGTGTGCCACCACCACCCGTCCAGAGGGCTTTTCTAATGTTCATTTGTTTGCTATGTGAAGAAGAAATATTTAAATCCCAAGCTTTTTGTAGCTAGAATTGTTACAGTGATGAGATGCAAATATGCTATTATCCTCTATGTTTCTTCAGAGTCTGTTGTTAGATGCTGGGATAGCTACACGAGCTTGCTTCTTAAATCCATTTGACTTGAAAATCCTTCTCCAATCCTTTACTCTAAGGTAACGTCTATCTTGGATGCTGAGCTGTGCTTCTCCTATACAGTAGGATGTCAGTTTGTGATTTTGTATCTGGCTTGTCTTTTTTTGGTGTTTTTAGTCCATTGATATTGAGGGATTTCAATGACTAATGATTGTTAATTCCTGTTATATTGTTGTTGTTGGTTGTAGAGTGTGTGTGTGTGTGTCTTTGTCTTTCGGTTTTGCTGGTGTGATATTATCTATTACTTCTGTTTATGGGGTTAGTTAGCTTTGTGGAGTGGAGTTTTCCTTCTAGTAACTTATATCGGGCTTGGGCTTTAGTTTGATACTGTTTAAATTTGACTTTGTTATGAAATATCTTGTCTTGTTTTGCCAATCTCTGATGGTTGAGCATTTTTCTGGGTATAGTAGTCTTTGATGACATCCTTAGTCTCTTGTAGTCTACAAGTCATCAGTCCAGGCCCTTCTGACTTTCAGGGTCTCTGTAAGGGGGCAGATGTGAGTATAATAGGTCTGCCTTTATTTGTTATTTGGGCTTTTTCCCTTACTGCTTTTAATATTCTTTCATTGTTCTGTTAGTTCTGTATGCTTAGCGTTTGAGTATTATGTGGTGAGGTGATTTATTTTTCTGTCCCAAACTATTTGATGTTCTATAATCTTCTTGTGCCTTTATAAGCATATTGTTATTTACATTGGAAAATTTTTCTTCTTTGATTTTGTTTAAATATATTCTCTGCATTTCTGGACTCAATTTTTCTCATTCCTGTATTCCTACTATTCTTATATTTGATTGGTTCATAGTGCCCACCAATTCCTGAATATTGTGTGGTAGGGATGTTTTAGATTTATCATGTTTTGATTGAAGAATCCATTTCCTCTGATGTTTCTTCAACATCTGAAAATCTTTCTTCCATCTCTTGTACTCTATTACTGATGCTTGATGCTGTAGTTCCTGTTCACTTATCCAGATTTTCCATTTCCAGGTTTCCTTCCACTTGTTTTCTTTATTAAGTCTATATTTATTTGTAGACCTTGAAATCTTTAAATTTTTTGGTTTTTTATTGGGGATTTATTGATTTCTTCAAATTTTCTTTGTCTGTTCCTCAATTTTATTATGGGATTTGTTCATATCCTCTTAAGGATTTCTATTATCTTCATAAAGTAATTTTAAGGTCATTTTCTTGTGTTTCAGCTCTGCTGCATTGTTTAGGTCTTGCTGCTGTAGAATAGGTAGGCTCTGATAATGCATTATTGCATTTTCTGTTTGTGTTTGTGTTCTTACCACTGACGTTTACCCATCTGTATTTGAGGAGATTTTAGGTCCAGGTGTCAATTCCTAAAATTGTCTTTGTTACATGAGGGTTTTGTTCCTTGGTTTCTCTTTCCTTTCTGGTCTTCTGCCCTAAATGACCAAGAGTTCTGGTGGCAAGTGTGTCTTTGGGTTCACAACAGCTAAAGCTTTAACTCTGCTCTGGGTTTCATGAGGATGGCTAGATGAGGCTGAAGTCCTCTTCTAAAGTCATTGACTAGGATCTGGAGCCCAAGAGTAGGTATGCAGTATGGAGTCCCTAGATCTGGTCTGGTCGCTGGGGTCCCTAGGACCAGGAATCTAGATCTGGCCTGTGCTCCAGTGAGATTGAAGTCTTCTGATGTTTTAGGCCTGGGGTTCCTGGATTTTGCCTTTCATCTGAGAAAGTAAAAATCTTCCAAAGCTGTAGACCAGGATGAGGAGTGAAGAGTGAGGGTGGGAAAAGGTGTGTACCGTCTTCGATATTTGAGCAGGATTAAACAGGCTTAGTGGGCAGTGGGCAGTATCTTCCCTGGGGTTTCTGGGACCAGGCTTCCCTCCTGTAAAACTGCTGGGGCTGTGGGCCCAAGTTTGGACCCCAGGGGAAGGTGTGCTGTCTGGTACTGCTGGGCAGGATTTAAGGAGTGTCAACTGACTGGCAGTGTCTGACCTGAGGTTTCTTGAGCCTGTCTGGTCTCTGATAAAGACAAGGACACTTCTAAATAGCCTGAGACATGGGGCCCAGGGACAGGGGTGAAGTCTAGAGTTGTTGGAGAAGCATGAAGGGTTTATGGGGTAGCGAGCAGCATCCTTGCTGGTATCATGAGAACTGCGCTCCCCTCGAAAAGCTACTGGGGACTGTAGGCCCTAGTGTGGAGACCAGGTAAGCAGTAAGGTCTTAGGTTGAGGGCAGGGTTTAAGGAGTGTGAGTGGGAAGTGGGTGGGTGGTTCCTTAACTGGGTTTCCTAGATCAAGCCTGGCATCTGGTATAGCAGATCTATGTTGTAGATCAGGCTATGGAACCAGGAGTGGGGCTGGGGAATTCTTCTTCCAAAGTTGTAGATGAGAGTATGGAGCCAGGTGTGGAGGAGGGGTAGTCTTCCTCCACAGCTGTACACTGGTTTATGGAGCTACAGGTGGGAGATGTGTGTGCAGTCTCGTATATTTTGACAGGTTTAAAGGGGTTCAGTGAGCACTGGCTTGCCTACAAAAGCCACAGCTTAATACTAATGCATCGAGTTCCCAGGGATCTTTTATTCAGTCTTCTATATTGATTTGTATTCTTGGTGTTGTCACAGTTGAACTGTAAAATTCCTTTAGCTTATTGGATAAAAATTAGTTTGAGGACTGTGCAGACCACTAAGCAAGTATTCTTGTGTGGAATGACTGGAATTCAGATAACCAAAGCAAATTTGGAAGCTCTTAACCACCTCCTACTTCGTATCCAAAGGAATCTAATCTGTTACACTCTTCTCTGGTGTGGCATCTACAGACTCATGGAAGTCATTTTCTCACACAACCAAACAGGCACATACACCTGGGGATAAACTTGTTTTCAAAAGTTTTATGAGTTATAAAACAATTAGAGCAAAACAAGTTGCTTTGCATGCTATATTATATAAATCTTACAAGAATTCCTTGAAAATCTATTTTTTTGCATTTGTTTTAAAAGTTTTCATTTCCTCACTGTTCTGAAGAATTACCTTCAATCATCAGTCATGGAATATAAAAGGATTTCCATGTAATCCCAACAGACTCCATTTTCTTTACTATAAGAGAATGAAATGAATTTAGCAGTCAAAATTATTTTCTGCTATGTTGAAACATAAGAATTCTTTAAGCAAAGAACTCCCATTTTGGTGACCATCTACTCCCAACCCATTTTCTCCTATTAGGCATGGAGAGAACTGGAATACACAAAGTGAGTGCTTGCCGGTGATTTGTTTGATTTAGATTTTAATCTTTAGTTCTTGTTTAAAGGTTGGTGTTATATTTATTGCTCTGTCTTTTCTCAGTGGTGCCATCAGTGTTGTATAGTTTTATTAATTATAATCTATATTGTAGTTTCTCTGTAAATGGGGAACCTTCACCTATTTCTATATTCTGAAAATTCGCTGTATTATGTCATATGTTCCTTGAGTTTTTGTTGGTTTGGGGACTGTCTTGGAGAAAGTTTCAGTTTGCTCCTTTTTATTTTAGAGTCTTCCATCTGCTTATTTCTTGGCATATCTGTGTTTTCCAGTTTTTGCTATCATCATTATTTAGGATTTTGCTACCTCAGTGATTTATCTGTTTAATATATTGGTTCTGGATTTTAAAAATATGCATATATTGTTTTTATGTCCTAATTTCCTTCACCTATAAACATGACATAGGCTAGAGTCATCTGAAGGACTGTCAATTGATGGCTTAACCATATCAGACTGGTTGGCTGCAGTGACGGTGAGAGATTGTGTTGATTGC